TACTGTTTTCTTTATTTTGTAATGTATTGGTATATGTGTAGAACATGTGTATGAATTGTTACAAAGAATGCTTTTAGGGTGCTCCTTATTTTCCAAAAGTTAATGCATGTCATATAGTTTGTATTTTACTTTAAGGCATGTCCAACAGTCCATGTAAAGAAAATTTACTTAGTAGGTTTCACATGAGGTTGTAACAGAAAACTAGATACAATCTTGATTGCATTCATATAAATAAAAAAAATGCTTTTAATTTGGAAAGAAAGAATAGTTAGGGAAGGCAAAGATTGGGGAAGATAAAGAGAGTGATTTTGACATGAGTTGGAGATATGTAGTGTATCTAGAGTTGTTTACTAGATAAGTAATCTCTAGTCCTAAAGATTAGTAAAACCATTTTATTAGTTTTATAGTGTTTATCAACATAAAACTGAAAATCTGATTGATTTCATGAAGTCAGGGAGAAAAGTAGCAAAGGCAGGTATTATATGAAAGATAGTTTAAATACAAATAGAAAATTTCTGAGAAAACTAATTTTTGTACATTATTTTTCCTTACCTCCTTTGATGAGCCTATTGAAATGAAGAATTTTTCCCCCTTATCAGAGTCCTAAGAGTGGCCTGAAAGAGAAAGTTTATCCAGAAGAAAACCCAGAGAAAAGTGAAGCAGTTCAGGACAGTGTGAGTATGAAATCCATGCAGTGAATTTTGTCTTTACTTTTTTTTGGTGGTGCTAGGGATCGAACATGGGGTCTCACATATACTAGACAAGTACTGTACCACTGAGCTGGTTGAGGTTGAGTACTCAACCCTTTTACCTTTTCTTACATTTAAGGATTGACAGGCGAATTTCATGTGGTTTTCTTTGTTACAACCATTTAATGAAAATTTGAAAAATGTATATTATTAGGTTGCTTGGATGGTTTTTTTTTTGGGGGGGGAGTGGAACCAGGGATTGAACTCAGGCCCTTGTGCTTGCCAGGCAGGTGCTTATTCTGAGCCATCTCCCCATCCATGTTTTGTTATTTTGGTGAAATATACATAAAAGACACTAAAAGACACTGCCTTAACTGTATAGTATCTCTGTGTTCATGCTGCTGTACAGCCATCACTGCCATCTGCCTCCTTAACTGAAATGTGGTGCCCATTACACACTAGCTCTCCACATTTCTCCCTCCACTCCCTGCAACCACCATTTATTTTGTCTCAATGAATGACTATTTTAGCTGCTCAAGTAAGTGTAGCCATGCAATTACATGACTTTTGTGACTTTCTTCAAGTAGCACAGTCTTCAGTTCCTCTGTTCTATGTCATGTATCAGAATTTCCTTCTGTTTTGAGACTAAATAATATCCCATGATATGTGTATGCCACATTTCTGTGTCCATTCATCTGGCAGTGGATACTTGGACTGCTTCCACCTTTTGCCTGTTGTAAATATTGCTGCCCTATTTTCAATTCTTTGGTTATATATTGAGAAGTGGGACTGCTATGTCTTAAATGCTCTTAATTGAACATTTTTAGTGTTCTGATTTAAAATTAGATTTGTTTGACAGATGTTTTTGTTTTTGTGATACTGGACACTGAACTCAGGGCCTTCTCACAGAGCTACATTTCCAGCATTTTTAAATTTTGGAACAGCTTTTCTGCTAACTTGTCTGGGATAGGCTTGAACTTACTTCCTGCTGCGTCACCAGCAAACATACCTGACGTTTTATAGTGAAAGAGTTAACAAAATGTTGTGATGTGTTGACTGTTAGCAACATAAATATTATTATTTTTATTATTTTTATTATTATTGTATTTTAGGGAAGGGTCTACAGGGAGTTCAGGATCTCACTACTAGATCGGACTTGTAGTGATCCGTCTGTTTATAGCCTGCCAAGAGCAATATAAATATTGAAAAATCAAAGACATCAAGTCAGTTATAAAATTAAAACTTGTCTATCTTCTGTTGTAAACAAATTTCTTTTGTTTTTATCTTCTTTTTTTTCATTAAGACCTTGCAGTTTAAAAAAAAAAGAGTAATTTTTAAAAGGCATGCTGACATTTAGAAGGTTTGGTATATAGTGTAACATACTTAAGGAAGAGAAGCTGTAGATAATATTCACTGAATTTACAATTTTCACTGAATTTATCACTTGTATATCTATGTATATAGACCAGCCTTACCCATCATGGTAAGCTCCAGATTTTCCATGTTCAACTGCTGTTATATTTAAGCCAAATTCATTTTTTTTAATTTAATTTTTTATTTTTATATATTTGGTATAGAGTCTCACTACATAGCTCAGACTTGTAGTAATCCCCCTGTTTGTTTAGCCTCCCCACTGCTTGGTGGCCAGCTCAGTGTGCCTGTGGGCGGGGCTGGTGTGCAGCATGTGGTTGTGAGGATCAAACCCTGGTCCTTGTGCTTGCCTAAGTAAGTGCTTAGTCTGCTGAGCTATCTCGCTGGCCCCCAAATTCATTCTTCTGTCTCAGCATTTTTATTTCTCTTATCCTACATGACCTTTGATTTTACTACTTGTTTTTCAGTTATCCTATTACACATTGTTTCCTCTATACCACATTTTTTGTGTTGAACCCAAACTTGTGAGTAGATGAACAGATGAGCTATTGAATGGTGTGCTAACTGCCAGCCTCCAGTTTATTTTTAAAATCTAAATATCTTTGTTTCTTTACTAATGTTTGAGAGATCACTTGAAAATTTTTATTGCATTAAGCCAGTGATTTTCAAAGAGGAGCTACTTTGCTTTGTGGGAACTTTGGACGGAATCTGGAAATCTCAACTGGGAGGCTGCTGACACTGTCTGGTGAATGGTGGAGGTCAGCGACGCTGCCAGCCATGCTACAGCGCATAGCACAGCCCCTCGCCAAGTAGTTACCAACCGAGAACATCAGCAGGGGCAAAATTGAGAGACCTTGTATTACGCATTTGTGAAAATGAATTAAGTGAAAATTTAGGGTTCAGTGATAGCTTTGAATTTTTATAGTTGCTGAAGATCTTTTACTACTTCTCAAGTGTGTTAATAGTTGTGCTAAGTGTTTTTTAAATTTATGTATTTGGTACAGAGTTTCACTACGAAGCTCGGCATGTGGTACTGGGGATCAAACCCTGGTCCCTGCACTTGCCTAAAAAAGTGCTTAGTCTGCTCAGCTATTTCACCGACCCTTAGTTGTGCTAATTTGTCTTTTCATTTCTGTTCTCATTTTTTCTGTTTTTCTTAACTTTTTTAGCTTAACTTTTTATGGTCATCAAATAAGTCATTTTATGACTTTCTGTGGAAGGTGGAGGTATGTATAGTTAATAAATTAAGGTTATAGAAAGTGACTAGGTCAAGGGTGTAGTGATCAGCATATGTACTATTTTCAGGGATAAAACAGTTATAACAATTGTGATAGGTTTCTCTACTTTAGTGTTCTATGGATATGACAGTCTGAAAATCAGTACCATATCTTTTTAATGATTTGATTTTATCCTTTTACTGACTTTGACCACTAGGTAAATCTCTTTTCTTTTCTGTCAATGTTACCAGGACACTCAGTCAATCATTGGAAGTCCCTTAACCAGAATAACACCTCATATTATCGGAGCAGAGGATGATGATTTTGGTACTGAACACGAACAGGTTAATGGCCATTTTTTTCTGAAAAAAAAAGTTGACTTATGCCTGATTTATTGCAACAAATAATCATTTTGTAGAGATTAAAGTAGCATGTGTAAGAATTTGACACTAGTATGAGATTGAATCTTAGAACCAATGGCTTCTTGGAGTCTTTTACTGATAGAAATGACATGGCATTTAAAGGCAGTAAAAGTTGAGTCAGTTGTTTATTTCATTTTGGTGGTGGACTATTATTGAATATGGTAGTTTTAAAAAAATTTTGAATCTCTGTCATGCATTTTATTTATATTCATATAAAATGAATGAGATTTGAAATACATATGTGAAATGTGTGTCTGTATATATATATATATATATATATATATATATATGCTTGATTCTTACCCTTATTTTCTGTGATCTTGTTGAGTTCACTTACTATTTTATGCTCTTTTAAAAATAAATCCTTTGTGATTTTTCTGCATAAACAATCATATTTCTATGAAGAGAGACTTTAAATTTTCTTGTTTCCAACCTATATATCTTTTATTTCTTGCTCCTCACTTTATTGCACTGGTTAAGACTTCTAGTGTGAGATTGGAGCAGTAATGAGATATCCTTGTTTTATTCCTCATCATTAAGGATTGCAGCTATTTTTATGGATGCTTTGCTAGGTTAAGAATAACTAGGTTAAGGCATATTTCTGGCTTACTGAGAGTTCTTACGTTGACTAGATGTGGAATTTTGTTGAGTGAGAGTATCATATGGTTTTTCTGGTTTAGTATCTGAATATGGTAGATGACTTTGATCAGTGTTAGAGCACAAGAATTGATCATGATCTATGACCTTTTTTTTTAATTTTTTATTT